ACCCTGTGTAGGATAAGCGGTACAGAAAATGGATGGATGGATGGATGGCTTACAGTGTCAAAATTCCAGCTTGTTAATGAATAAATGTCTGTCAGTAGCTGAGGTCATGGTCCAGAGTTTTTTGCTGTATATTGCCCCCTATTGGAATGATTTTAATTTAGAACAAGGATTCATTTGTTGGGTGTGGTTTGAACCTTATAACAATCAGACCTAACACCCCTGGTCTATACCGTGTGTACAGATTATCTGCTAAACTTCATCAACCATAAACTGTTAGGCTATACGTATATCATTTAGACTTGGATGTTAGGCAGATTTGTGACTGATTAAAGTGTGTATACATTGACAAGTGCGTCAATGTGCACTCTACTCTATATACACTAAGCATATTGTGTCCAGTGTGTCTGTCTGCCATATGGATGCATGCACATCCAAGTGCCTAGAATAGAGTTAAGGGCCAAAGTTCACATCACTCATAACGTTTTAGTGGGGAAAAAGGAAATTGCATGTCTTTTTTTTACTTTATAGAAAAGAAATCCAAGATTTATGCAAGAAATATGAAATGGTGGATGTGTAATGAAACAGTCTATCTAAAACATAAATAAAATAAATCAGAACCTCTGCTTCTTTAGACCTGATTTACAAAAGGTAGTGTATGACTTGGTAGTTATAACACAGATGTCAGGAAAAATGTGGCTAGAGATTTTACAACAGAGAGAATCTACAAGCTGTGCAGTGGATACAAAGAAAGTTGAAGGCTGAGAAACATGGACTAAATGTCTTGCTGGTGTATATTACACTTCTGTCTTCTTCATTTTGTCCTAAGAGTTTGCAAACTTTTGCACTTGACAGTATGTCCTTCAAGGTGTGCTGTACATATGCATGCACACGTCTACAGCATCTAAATGTGACTCAGAGTGCACACTTATGCATGTACATGTAAGTGACCAGACTTTGTGTGTGTGTGTGTGTGTGTGTGTGTGTGTGTGCTCTCCGTGCCCCAGCATGTGCAATGAACACATGCACAGCTCCTGTCAATACGTGAACCTTCTCCTGCTATGAGTGTAATAAAGAGAGCTTAGCTTGTAAATCAGTGTCACCCGCTGAAGCAGAGCGGCGATTGTCCTCTGTCATCTCTCCATCGCACATCACTGTGAGCGCCTTAGCCTCCCATTAATCCATTAGGGAAAGAGGGAGAAATAAAAAGAGGGCAATTTCGGTTCAGTTCCTCTAGCAGGTCTATAAGAATGAGCAAGTGGCAAGAGAGGTGAGAGAAAGAAAAAAAATATGAAGGACACTTTAAGGACTCTTAAGGAAAAAGTGGTAAAGCATAAGCAAGAAAATAATGCATGCATTACATTTTTGCAGTGATGTGACACTGAAAATGGATGCATTAAAAAAAACATAATCTCATCTGCCACCCCAGTTTGGTCATTAAAATGCTAATATTGATGCAGGCTCAAGCAACTGACATCATGCCTGTGAGAAATATTGAAATGTTCATAATTACACACAGTGCTAGATGTTGTAATATGGAATATTGAAACAGTAAATGGTCACTCTGACTTCCATTTAGCCTTGAGTGAAGTGTTTGAGCTTTCACTATATACAGGATTTGAAGGAACACGGTGAGCAGGACGTATTAATGGCCGTGAAATCTCCTGTATTCTTGCTGTGGCATTTCTATTCACTAGAGAGGTATAAACATTTCACATTTTCCCCAAGAGGATGTTACTAAGGCAATATATGACCAAATGAGAAGCTGGCATTTCACACAATTCCCATATTTGAATTTTGAATAAAGAAAAAATTTAAATTTGAATAAAGTAAAAATATGACTGAAAATACTGCAAAACAATGTGCATTTTTATCTGTAAAACTAAATAAATTAAAATTTGCTATGAACAGAGGTTTAATATTGTAAACAAAATGTACAAGTTCAACATATCTTAAAAATAAATAAATAAATTTATTAATTCTTACAAAAATTTTGATTGAATGAAATAAATGTCTGATGAAACATAATGAGCTCCGTAGCAGAAATAGAGCTCCAAAGTCGGCTAAAATGCCCGATGTCCGCAGCCTCTGGTGTTGTTTGAAATCTACTGAAGAGCACTTTATAACTGTTATATAACGTGGTCATGTAACTGTATAATGTATAATGCATGCTGGTCGTTGTAATCCAAAGCTATCGGGCTATCAGACTTCACAAGTGCAGATCTTTGCTATGAACAGAGGTTTAATATTGTAAACATTGTATGCTGGTCACATGAATGCATTCTCTCGTGGAGAGAATGCATTCATATGACCAGCATGCGCTTGATATATTGTAACTTCCCACATTTATTTACATTGTACTCTTGATGAGGTACCTTTCGATGTACTCTGCACTACATATGAGCACTGTGCAGAAATGTAATGTCTTAAATTGCTCCTGCAGTTTTGTCATTTTGTTGCCAGAGGTACAGAAGCTGTTTGTTATGATTGAAAGAGTCTGGATAGAGAGGATGGCGATGGTGGTGATGAAGGGCAGGCTGGTAAATCGGGTACAGTGGGATGGAGAGATGTTCTATAATAAGATTGTAGGAGGGATTTACTGCAGCACAATTTCCCCTAGGGCACTTATATAGAAACTCGGTTCCTCTCTTTAGCTCTCTCTCTCTCTCTCTCTCTCTCTCTCTCTCTATTGCAGACTATTTTCTTTTTTCGTTCTTTCTTTATTTGATTGTCTGCTTTCTCCTTTTCCCTCGGAGTTGTTACTTTCTCAAGCTCAGAGCCAGATACAGCTTGGCTAAGCATGGAAGGCGTGGTCGGACACATGGACAGGTCACAGGAGAGGACAAACAGACAAAGCGAGAGAGGAGAAGGAGGAAAGGCGCATGATATTACTCATACTCTCACAAGGTTAAAGCAACCTGCAAATATGCAAAACATGTTTTTTCTCAATCAACCATGTGGCCACATGTGTCCAAACCACTTGGATGTGCACACAAAATGCAGAGCCAAGCCAAATGAGTCAGCCCGTGTGTGTGTGTGTGTGTGTGTGTGTGTGTGTGTGTGTGTGGACCACCCGTCACCAGACAGCCCATGTTTACACACATGCGAAGCATTACACTTCACCTTCCCTACACACCCCTTTGCTGGCTACGGCTCATCAGCCTGGACAACATTTCCCCCAGTGGACGACTAAATTAAAGTTTTCATTCCAAATTAAATTCAGATTTCATTCCAAGAATTGAAATCTCAACATTGTGGTTCAGAATGTTTTAATATGCAGTCGTAACTGGTTATGGTTTATGCGTAGCCTGTCTAAAACGTTTGACGGATAAAAAGTTCCAGACACTCCTGACTGCAGAACGAACCAACACATTTGTCACACACGCACGTACACACACACACACGCACACGCACACACACGCACACATGCAAAGTGTCTTCTTGTTCTTTTTCACTTTTTGGAAAGTTTCTGTGCTTGTGAGATTGGAAGAACACTTCACCTCAAAAATGTTAACTTGGCTAATTCCATGCCGGGGTCCTCATTACCATATTGCTAGCAGGTCATTGTCATTATAGTATTCATTTATTTTTAGTAAGGTTAGCATTTTTGGACTATTTTTGGATGATTCATTCTTTTGTGCTCATGGATACACTCATTACCACCTCAAAAAAAAAAAAACATTCAATATTGTTATATCTGGTTTGATGGCTTTTCCTAAATGTATGAGAACTGCTTCTAAAAACATATTTAACCAGTGATGGATGAGGAAAGATATTAAATGGGAGGTGAAAATCCAGTATCTATTAATAGCTCGACAGTGAAACTAACAGAGTAGAGCAATGCATTATATCACAAGGACTCATTTGTGATTTATGTATATTTTTTAAGTGTTTCAAGTTCATAATGTTCTTCTGGCTTCAAAACATAGTTAAGTCGGAATGCCAAATCTAAAAAGAGTCATGGTTTACATTTATGAAAACATTCAGACTCGATAGCAAAGATAAGGCTAGACTGAACAGTGGTAGTGATTGTGTCATGGTTCGAAACTCCTCAGATAATTAAGCTTGAACACGCAACAGATGTGTGTAGAGACATGCCGAACCGTGACTTTAAATCAAAATCATGTTATTGATTATTATAATTTTTTTTTATCCCAGGGCCAATATCCTTTAACCACAACAAGGTGATCAAGTAACATCCTCTTTGCTTGTTCTTTGACTCATTTGAAGAACTGAGATGTCTCTAAAGAAGGTGACATTCAATTGATTTTCAAATCAAGGATTGAGGAATCACAGAAGTATCAATTATTGTATTGTTGACAAGGTGAATTCGTTACTAAGACCTTTGCTAAGATGAATCAGAAAGATGAGAGAGAACAGAGCACTAAGCAATCAGTTACACAGAGCTAAATCAGTTCAATATGTTTCTTCTGGAATTGTATCTGCCCTTTCCTTTACAAAAATCACCTGGCTCAGTGATCGAAACCCATATTAGCGATTAGCAACACAGAGTGCGTAAAATAAATGTGGGTCCAAGAGGAGCATTAAAAAGTCATGAGCAGGGACTGATGCAGAGGAAGCTCCTCTCTGCTGCAGTCTGCTGAGTCATGCTTTTCACTCAGCGCCATGCTGCTAAAGAGAGAAAGAGACATGTCTCTTAATGGCACACATAAAACACAAATATCACCTTAATGTGACATGTGATAATGACTTCGGGATATAGAGCTCCACGGGTTCTCCGCAGATATACATCCCTGCTTTGGATGAAGCTTTAGAATCCAGGACACAGTTTAATGAGTGATGGAAGGACTGGTTTAAATTGTCTATTATGTAAGATGTTTTATTGTCTCAGATAATCTTATAGTAAAAATATTGGCATTACCTCCACTGTATGGAGTGGCTTGTCAAAACTAGATCACTCTTATACAGTGGCTTTTGTACACCATAAAACAAGAATTCTACATAATTATAGTAGTAATACTTACTAGTAATACTATTGGGGGTCCCTGGAGGACTAGTGGTTAGGCCCCTGCGCTCTCACCACCACAGTCTGGGTTCAATTCCCAGCCAGGGAACCCACCCCAGCCACTGGGGTTGCACAAGACAGTGCGCTCCCAGTGCCGGTCCCAAGCCCAGATAAAATTGGGGAGGGTTGCGTCAGGAAGGACATCAAGTGTAAAAACTGTTCCAAATCAAATATGGGGACCAATGATCTGCTGTGGCGACCCCTAACAGGAGCAGCTGAAATAAGAAGAAGAACAACAACAACAACTTACTAGTAACACTATTATAGTTTTGTGAATGTTAAATCCTTATGCTGACATTGAAGGAAACCCACATGGACACATGTAGAATATAAAAGCATAGGATCAAACCCAGGACCCTGGGTTAATTACCTACCTCTGGCTTCTTGAAATAACTTTTGCTAATTAGATTCACTTCCTGCTGTCTAGCACCTGGTTGCATGAAAACACTTAAGTGGATTGACTTAAGGGTATCCCTGTATGGAAAAAAATCCCTGACGCAAGGGATTTCTTTAAGAGCATTGCAACAAACAAAAGCCTGGCATGAGATAACAGAAAAAATGAATTCAAGCAATCTTGCTGTCAAGCGCACAGTAAAAGAAGTGATGAACAAATATGAAAACGTAGTTGTGAGTTCAAGAAAAGTTCAATAAACAATCATAAAAAGGAATCGGGAAAAAGTAGGAGAGTTACATTCGGTGAGTTACATTCAAGCTAAATTGATTTACGAAACTGGATATATAGCGCACTTGGTTCGATACAGTTTAACAAATATTTAATTTTGTAAAGGATGCGCCTCAGTATTGCCTCCTCTTCAATTAACACGAAATCAGCCATTGGGTTTGAGTTCAGCTTTAGTTCACATGTTTTGGGCCCCTTCATTTTTTCAGGGTGAAATGGTTACTAAGGACTTTGTAGCGATGCATAACAGAACTTAAGGGAACACTTAAGCAATTAAGGGGAAATACTTAATGACCGCCTTAAGGTCTTGCAACACATGTTTCACTAAAGATATCCTTAACTTTATACTGTAACTTAGGGTTTTGTTAATTTAAGGGCTTTGTTGCAACTGGGCACAGGACCCAAATATATCACTCAGTCCAGTCCAAAAAGCTCCATGATTGACTCATGCCCATTCTACCACTTTAAAAAACAAAAGCTAGGTTTTTTTGACTGACCCATGTGATGAGATTAAAGGTTAAACTCACATCCTCCTGCAACTTATCATAATATCTCTGCTACACACATGCTAGCTATATCATTCACCAAACATATCAGTCATTATCAAGCTTTTAAGTGCTCTCCGCTAAGCATTTACAGTGCCATTGCACAATGTCATGGAGTTTGTGTAGAGAAAATGTCACAAGTAGAACGCACCTCTCTTGGCTCTATTTCAGACGTTATTTTGTTACTGTGGCTAGGCTGTTCTGAAGATTAAGTGCTGTACTTACGCTAATACCAGAGCTCCAGAAATATCTGCTGAATCTGCACATAAACGCTCGAAGCTGTGGTGCATTGCTTGCACTTTTCTTTCTGTATTCATCAGGTGGGGAAAATCAGGTACCCTTTCTGCTCCTGAGGGAGCATAAACCTATGGCTGCCTGTACCGCCTGTCAAGCATCCAGCGCTACCTCACAGGCGCTAATAAATTAGCGTCCCTGTAGTCAGCCTTGAGCCTACAGACTTCTGAGCTAGCTAATGTGGTTCTAACTTGATTTTGACTGCTGGATGTTGTTGAGATAGGAGATAACCAATAATTTAAGTTTCTTTGTGGGATTTTGTGAATATACTATATGCAGTTCATATGAAGTAACACTCTTAAGCAAATGTTTACATCGCATGATTTTAGGCTAGCTTTTTGAGACCGTAACACTGGTTTTAGAAAATGAGCTAGTAGCACTGAGAGAAAAAAGATAATAATAATATTTATAAAAAAGTGTTAATCTGTGTAAGTGTTACAGTCCATCATTTTAAATGTGGAAAAAAACAACTTTGTTTTGATCTTTTGAGCCCCTTTATAACGTAGCCAGAGGAAATGCTTTAGTCACTCAAGACAATGATGAAAATGGTAATGCTTTCTGTGCTTTTCTGAGCTTTCTGTGATTCATGAGCCTGACAGAATTCTTGATCTTGAAATACTTTCTGTTGTTCTTTTTTGTGGCCTCTCGCCTCAAAGCCCTGTTACCGAAAAATATCTCTTCTACTTGACAGCATCAAAATCAACTTTGACTTCTTGTTGTGCATAATATCTAACAAAGGCAAAGCAGGAAGTCAGAGCTTTTCATAAATGCATTCCACAAAAGGTCATTAATTCCTTTTCTCTCGTTAAAAAAAAACAAAAAAAAAAAACTTACAAGCTAAGTTTCCAAATTGACAGAAATATACGAATTGTGTAAGGCTATTCTTTTTGCTTTTGCTTGAATGGAACATAATTTCCATATAATTTTTATGCTTAAATGTGAAAATGTGTTCACGAATTCTGACTGATTTATTTTTCAAACTTATTGTTTTCACATTTAATTATTTTCATCATTAACAGTGTCGACTGAAAAAGCAGTGAAGCTGGAGATGTCATTTGTAGCCTGAGTGTGGCTGTTAATTAAAATTCAGTTTTATATATATATATATATATATATATATATATATATATATATATATATATATATATATATATATATATATATATATATATATATATATATATATATATATATATATATATATATATATATATTTTTTTTGGTGTTGTTTATCAGCATTTAACTGCATTAATACAACAGCCTAAAAATAATGATGTCCTGAATTTCTATAACTATAGTAAAGATGACTAATCGAGAGCTTTTTGGAATTAATGGTTAAACTAGTAGAAATTAATAGTTGTGCAGCCCCCTCTTCATAGGCATTCATCTTGTCTTTATGTGCGTCATAAACAAAAATACGAAAAAAAAATATGACTTGGAAACAGGGTTCAATATTGGATAATAAATATCAGTAAGCTTCAGTAACAAACCCTGTTCAGTTGGCTGTGATTCAGTATACACAGTGACTAAAGTGACATCTGCATTAAGGTATATGGTGAAAGTAAATATAGGTTGGAAAGTATGGTAATTGAAAAGTGCACAGTCAATGACGTGATGCTTGTGCATGTGCTCGTGTGAATGAGAATGGTGCCTGGGAAAAGGCACAGAATGTGACAAGACCATCAGCAAGAACTGTCCATCTACAACTACATAGAGTAATATTATGGTAGGGTTGCAGTGCTTGGACCCCTAGTTACAAAGACGAATACACATCTGAGAGTTCAGTGGGACAAAAACCACAGGTCTACAGAGATGTGGGTAAAAAGGGATACAGATAGATAGATGAGCCGTCCTTCAGCATATTCTCAGTAATATGTGTAGCGTACACCAAGAGAAACATACATGCTTGAATGTTTGACCTCTAAAGTGAGGGGGCGTTTTGCTGACAGGCGTATGTCCAGTTGTCCTCTTAGAAGGACAAATCAATGCAGAGTTCTTCTGACTGATCGTCTTTCTATCCTGATGGGAGTGGTGTCTTTCAGTGGTGACTCCATCCGTATCGAGTGAAAATGAAAATGTTGTTACCTACTATGGTTGAGTGGTCTTAGGTTTTAATGTGTCCCCTCACATAGTCTCTTATCGTAGTTGTCCTTATAAAAATGGATGTGTTGTGTTCCAAGCAAAAGTGTTAAGTGTTGGTTTGGTGGTTTTATCATCAGCTGCAGAGATGTTCTACTGCAGTGTTCCAAAAATAGTAAAAAAGGAAATAAATGGATTTCAGTGTTAGTGTGGCAATTATGGCCTCTCTTTAAATTTTCAGCCATTCTTAGCATCCTTCTGTCTCTGTGTGTGTGCGTGTGCGTGTGTGTATGATTTGTGCAGTGCTGCTCAGTGTGCTCTCTGCCGGGGCTCAGACAGAAATGAAGAAGGTTGTTGGGGACAACACGACGCTGCCATGCCATCACCAGTTCCGGCAGTCAAATGGACAGACGCTGGACATCGAGTGGATCCTGCAGAAACCCAGCTTCAAACAGCGCGTGGTAACTCCATAGCTTTATTCCTTTCTTTATTCCTGTTTCCTCTTAGCCTTCAACCTTTGTATTCTGGATCTATAATTGAATTTCACCTTATACCACAGCACTTGTGGATTCTTGATTCTGGTTGCTCAGAAGGCATTGATTAAGTTTCTATAACAGCAGCTTTGAAAGTAGTTCTGGCTGTAATTCAAATTATAATAATGTGCTCGTTCTACAGTAACAGCTCGTTCAGATGGGCTCGTATGGTGTCACATAATCTAAAACTAAGAATAAATAGATTTTTAAAAATGTGCTGTTATTCAACAAAGAAAAATATATAGTTGTTGATATGGTGAAGTTTTCTGTAAGGATATGTTTAATATTTATGGAAGGAGTCTCCAGTGTCAGTGCTTTGTAATGTTCAGTAAGTTTTCACTGCAGGGAAGTCTTCAAGATACAAGGCTTTGCACTTTTTTTGTGTTAATGATGTTCATTCTTTAATTAATGAAATAATGTAGGTGTTGTCAAATTGATGTAGTATAAGAGGAATAAAACACTTAGGGGGATACTGTTATAGGAAAATAAGCAATAACAGAGTGATCACTGACAGGAAGTCCACACAGTATTCCTTATTTATCCCACCTGATACCCTTTACCACATCACATATTCACTTATTTTTCATTCAACTCCTCTTTTTTATTCTCTCATATCTCTTTTCCGGTTTATCTCACCTGCTTTATCTGCCAGCATACACATTCTTTTCCTCAGTGCTTTGCTTTGACAGAAAACACTACATTTGTGTCATTGTCATGCTCTTCTCGTTTTGCTATTGCGGCTTTTTTTTTTTTTTTTACAGTACCTTGCTTACTATCTTCCGTTAGATTCTGTCTCTCTTTCCTCTCAGCTGTCCTGCCACAGGCCAAATCTGCTTTCTCCATGGCTTCACAAACAAACCTGAAGAGAGATCCACCTGGAGCCTTATGGCTGTCAAACAAATGCCTGCAGCTTTATTCG